TCAAATGAAATTTCCATTTCTAACTCAGCCATGTGAAACAATTTAATTGAAAATGGTTCAAGTGGGTTTACTCATTTCCAAGTGGACCAAATGGGCTTTTTTTCAACTAGGCCATTTGAATAATGTGCAAATGCCAAATGGTTCAATCAAAAATGGTTGCTTTTAGTTGGGCCATAAGCTTCCCTTGGAAATTCGCATGCACAGTTTGGTCAGAAACTTGGAGTCGCTTTGAACTGTTCCGTTCATTTACTTGCAAAATGTTAAAAAATTCCAAGGGTCTATTATACCACTGCTAAGATGACCTGAAAGTGCTAATTATTAATGTTGTTTTAAGGACATATGTCAGAATCCATCGAACCGTTCGGCTTTTATCTCATTTTGTGCTTGTCAAGTCTCTTTTAGCATATATTGTACAACTTTTTGGCCCACCACACAATCTACTAGGTTTTTAGTCAGTCCGTTGAGCGCCCCTTCGGCATTTTAGTTCTTCGTGGGCACTAGCAGGCCAAATGACACTAATGGCATTTTTTAAAAGTTTTGAAAGCCACGTAAGTTCCGCAAAGACAAACTAAGTTACACAGCTCATGTGCATGGAGCTACTCTTGCGAAAAACAGCATTATATCCTTTTGTCATGCATGCACTACAGGGAACTTTATTCACAGCTTTGCGTGCCTCGGGATAGTGAGAGCAGTGCAAAAATGTTTTTGCTTGAATGTGATTACAGCTAGTTTTATTCAAGGACACTACAATAGATTAGACCTTTTTTCTGAAAAAATGTTTCTTGGTACAATTATTGCAAACATAAGGCAGTTACATCAATCTAAATGGTACAGCTGAAAATAGAGCAGTGCAAATTTTTGGCATATAACACCGAATTAATATTCAAAGGCCATAAGCAGTGGAGGCAGTTTCAGGCATGTATATAACAAAAGCACACAATCAGGTCACACAAACGTTTATTAGTACAAAAAGTACAACAAAAGTAAGCAGCAGACACTCCCTTTGTATCTATCTTGGTGCATTTTTTTCACAACACTTGCAATACAACATCAAGGTTCCAGAGCAATGAAACTCAATCACCAATACTAGTAAGGTGTTGTCGGCAAAATCATTTTTCACTGAACTTCAAGCAGTAGCAATTGTATGCCAGAACAACAAGAGAATTAAAACAGTCCTCCCTATAAAAATACGAATGAACATAACACAAAAATTTTCATTCAATTACTGCAGTTTAAACCTGAGCCCCCATGCTTTTAAACAAATGCCTTAAAGGGGTACTGACACAAAAACATTGGCCTCGCATTTTTCAGCTGCAATGTGTTGCTGGGGGCCTGTTAGTCATGACACGACACATAATTTGCTGCAGCACGGGACAGATAATTACAGGCCCCTGACAATTGACCACTTTCAGTATCAGTTTGAAAGAGCTCCAAAAAACGAGAAGCCACCAGGGGCAACTATCGCTACCTAGAGTATGCAGCTCTTGATCAAGTCAGCACAAAGAACTGTGACACACTTCTGTACAGTCCACATCAAGAATTACTTTCGAATAGTAAACCTGACTGCAATGTCGCCAAACACAAAACTTTCAAAGCGTGTGCCACAGCGAAGCACTCCCAAGCAGCCGCCAAGAAGTATAGACTCCGATAACAAACGCAACAAAAAAGGCAGCTATGATGTCATCATAACTTGTTTTATTGACTGCAGCATGGTGACTGAAGGGAAGTAGGGGGTCTTCAAAGGTTTCCCTTCGAGGGTGTCAGTGGCAAGATGCAAACTTCCAAAATCGATTTAAAATACCTTCCAACCTATATTTGCAGTTGATATTTTGCAGATGATATACAAATGCTCACGGGAATCGACCTTGCAGGCTGTCTCAGCCACAAAATTTTGTCAGGACCCCTTTAACCAGTGGGCTACAAACCCATTTTTCTTTCCTTGATTATGGTATTTAATAAAATGCATATTAAAAAAAATAGCACATACAATATGATAGTTGCAATGTTGCAATAACATAGCGACAATGAGCAGTGCTGAAATCATAATTTTACCGAACTTCAAGCACTAGCAATTATATGCAAGGACAAGAAGAAAAGAGTATATGTCACTATGCTTCACGGTGAATTTGGGCCAACTCGTCGAGGTTTGTTAGGATCGCAGTTCCTTGAATCCTATCAGACTTTGCATAATGAGGGGTATCCAGTATCGTCCGAGAAATCTGACGAAGCAGGGTCTCGAGCTTCGATTTTTGGGTCTTGGTGATGTCAATATATGGATATTGATACATGACGTGGGGAATGGCTAAAGCTTGGGTCATGCGCCTGAGTTGGTGTTCTTTGATGCCTCTCAACTCTAGCGTTGTGCGTTTCAAAATACGGTGTACTTGCTGCAACTATTGTATTGTATGTCGGAGCCACTCCTTCAACTTGCCGTCATCTTGCAACCAGAAGCCTAGCAATTTGATGCAGGGGTTCCTGGGAATAGGGAGCTCAGGCAGGCAGCGCAGCGATGCATCTCCGATGCAGGGAATGACGCCCCTTAATGCGTCAGTACAGTTGCACTCGTGATGCAATGGCCCACCGCTTTTCTTGAAAGTCCCTGAGCGTCGGTATCTGCAGAATAAACATGGGGTAAATTCTCGGTTCCCATGGCTGCCTCTGCTGCCAAAACGACGGCGAAGGACAGGCGGTGTTCCTTATAAAGGGCCTGCAGAACAGCCGATGGGACATGGATCAACGTGGGTCCCACAATCAGTCGCAGACAGCTCAGGCAGGACGTGCAGCGATGCAGCTCCGATGCAGGGAATGACGCCCCTTAATGCGTCGGTACAGTTGCACTCGTGATGCAATGGCCCACCGCTTTCTTGAAAGTTCATGAGCGTCGGTATCTGCAGAATAAACGTGGGGTAAATTCTCGGTTCCCGTGGCTGCCTCTGCTGCCAAAATGTTGCACCCAGGCACAAAGCACCAACTCTGGGTCTTCTTTTTTGTCGTTGACATCCTCGGGCATTTCAGAGGGACCTATCGCAAACACTGACTGATGGCATACTTGCAATGTAGCGACTGCTTGCGAAGAAAATCTCAGCGCACCTGCAGCAAACACAGGGAAGTGCGCCGCTCCCTACCCGGATGGATGGATGGATGTGGCTGTACCCTCTAGATCGGGCAGTGGCTAACGCTACCTAGCCGTAATACTTAGTGAACTAACCATTCAATTTATCTCTTTTTTCCCCCTTTAAATAGTGAGGTTGCGGATTCGTACTTTGCAGTGAAGGGTTTAATTTTCACTCGTGCCTTGACTTTAGCCACCAATCAGATAACCTTGTTCTAGTTAAGTCTACCCGCTTAGTATATGTTTTGCCCTCCCTGTCCCTAAACCCCAGTGCTTTGAAAAACTCTGCGCCATCATCCTGAACTATAGGGTGAAGCCCTTTACAGAACATTATCAAGTGTTCGGCGGTTTCTTCTTCCTCGATCTCCACACGCACTGCATACTGTGTCTACCCCTTCGTATTTGGTCCGATATGTCTTGGTTCGCAGTACTCCCGTCCTGGCCTCAAACAGTAGAGAACTACCCCGAGTATTGTCATAGATCCTTTCCTTGGCAATTTCCTGCCTAAAAGTTTGATAGATCTCTAGTGCGGACTTCTTAATCATGCCAATTCTCCACATGTCAGTCTCCGTTTCCTTCACTTTCTTCTTAACCGATAGTTCTCTTTGGTTTGGCCACCTGCTGTTTTCTAAGTATTTACCAGTCAATTTCCTGGTTCGCTTCCTCCATTTGGTATCGCCATTCTTCATGTACAAGTAGCTGAAAACCTTCCTAGCCCAACGCTCCTCCCCCATTTCTCTCAATAGCTCCTCAAATTTTATCTTGCTGCTAGCTTATCTGCCCTCAAATGATGTCCATCCCATATCACCTTGTACTCCCTGATTTGGTGTATTCCCGTGAGCCCCTAAAGCAAGCCTACGTATTCCACGTTGCTTAATTTCTAATCTTGCTTGAACATGCATGCACAAGACCACCTTGCGAACGTCAGCCCAGGAACCATGACCCCTTTCCATATTCCTCTCACAACATCATACGTACTGTAATTCCACAGTGCCCTATTTTTCATTACTGCTGCGTTCCTGTTACATTTAGTCGTGACGTATATTTCGTGTTCCTCTAGGTACTTGGTCCCATTGCTTATTGATGCGCCCGGATATTTGTATTTATCTGTTATCTCTTGCGGGACCTCCCGTGCCCCTGCCATGAGCGCCCCTTGCGGCATCGGCACGCCGAGTGACCCTCTCGGACGAGCGAAAAGCGCCCCGCTCATTACACCTCCCCATTCTAGCAACCCTACTTCGGTCAACAAAATACAGTGTACTAGAAGACGTTGCCCCTTCTAGTACACTGTAACCCACGGAGGAAGGAAAGGTACTCTAACCACTGTAACAAAACAAGTTATGCTGACGTCATAGCTGCCATTTTTTTGCCGGGTTAGTTTAGTATATTGTAGCGTTAGTTCCCGAAGTCTCGGCGGCTGGTTGCGAGTGCGCGGCCGTGGCGCGCGCATAAAAAGTCTTGTGTTTGGTGCCATCCCAGTGTCGTTTCCTATTGGAAAGTTATTCTTGGTGCGAACCATGTGAAAATGCATCACAGTTCTGTGTGATGACGTTATGAAGAGTGGCACACGCTAGATGGCGACAGTTGCACCCAGTTTTTGGAACTCTCTCAAAGGGAAGCTGGAACTGATCGATAATGAGGGGCCTGTAGTTAGTTATATTTCGCGTGCTGCAGCAAACGATGTGTCGTGTCATAACGAACAGCCCTACAGCAACGCGTTGCAGCAGAAAAATGCGAGGCCAAATTTTGCGTCAGTACCTCTTTAACTTCACCATTAAAAAGATAAATCGTAATACGACTAGATGGCGCTAGCCGCCGCCCAATCTAAAAGATACAGCTATATAGGTGTTCTGTAGTACAGTCAATCAATCTATCTATTCAATCGTGCTTACTGAAACAAACGCCATTAACGTGCTGCTAAACGATGTCGCTTTGCATTGACTACAGTGACTGCAAGCCGAGATTTCACGCCCATCTAACGGAAAAGTTTGTGCCGCTTTGATTGAACAGCGCGGCCATGTCGGCGCGAAGGCAAGTGCTGCGTATTCAACAATTCGCCGGCCACGGGATGTGTACTTCATTCATGAGTCGCCCCCTTTTCTCTCGGCATTTGGGTGCAGTGTGGTGGTTAGACGTCGCTTCTGCTAGCATCACTGGCTGTGTGGCAGATATTCGATCGCGTGCGCATACCGGTCATGCCGAAGGAAGCGCTATAATGCAAGAAACGGCTCTTCGCGCTAGTTAAGGCTCGCTCTAGTGTTGCAAAAAAAAAAAAAAGACTACCACTACTAGAATGATGAGAAAGCGCAAGCACTTTTTTTTTTTTTCCCCTCAGAAAACTGTGCGCACAAGAAATGAATTTATGCTGGTAACAGGTAGCGATGATTTGATTCAATACGACGACCAGGTTCCCCTGCACCAGTGGGAATTGCATCCGAAACGCCACACACCACTACCGATTTAAGTGGGTAGACCTTGTGTATTCCTCACGGATGCCTACTGAAAAATCAGCATTGTCACTTTTCACTGGAATCTTTGCGATGGGTCAGCAACAACAGCTATGGGATTCTCCAGGTGTGCAAGCACCACAGGTTGCATTCAAGAAACTCCTTCCGTGTCTACCAAACATGAAAATGATTTGTTTAACCAGTTTGTTCAGCATCATGTGTAGGGGGAGTGTAGAAATGGTTTAGTCCCGTGCACTCTTCTGAACGATTTTTGCGCTCCCCTGCGTTAGAACATTCGTACTGGTCAGCCACAGAGCTTCATTGTTGGTTTCCCTTGCTGCTAATCACAGCCAGCAGCTGCATGTTTACACTGAAGTGCGGTCAAGTTAGAACATTCTTGTTCAGTGCACGAAAATGAGAGTGTTCATTAGTGCAACAGCAGTACATTCATTCGAAGGACAACTTGTGTTGTGAATCCCATTGATTACACATAAAAACATGCGTGCCTAAAAGCCCTGTATGAATACAACTTTGTTCAGAGTGAAATTGAAGGTTGACACATGTGGTTATCATTCTTTGTCAATTGCTAAGAATGATAATAAATAAATGGCATGATATTCTTGCCTTCAAGGAATGAGCATGCTCGCTCATGTTAATGCACTGGTCAGTCTGGCTGATGTACGCACTGCTACTCATGCAATGTGCCATGCAAAAACAACAGGGGTACATATGTGCTTAAAGGGATCCTGAAACAGTTTTGATGATTTTGTACAAACACATTGGGCCGGTAGACTAAGTCCCAAGGGTCATTTATAAGCCAATTTGAAGTCTCTGTGTAAACTGCGTAATTTACTACTATGCTTTAAAGCTGCAGATTGCTGCGACTCGTCTAAATGCGTTTTCAACCGCTCATTCACAGAGCGACATGCTGTGCCCACTTGACATCACTGTGGCTGCTGATCTGATTGGCTATGGAATACGCAGCACAGGCCTCGTGAAGGCGGAGCTTAGCTCAGAGCGCTCGAAGGAAAAGTTCAGAGTGAAAGGTGAAGCGAAGGAGAAAGGTATCCATTATTACTTGCAGCTGCGTTAATAAGGGGTATGTCGATTGAGTTATGGTGCCAACAATGCTCCAGTAGTGGTCTAACCAAAAACAAAATGTGAGAAAACCGTTTCAGGGGTGGGGGGGGGGGAAGCTAGCAGTCATGTATTCCCACATTTTCTCTTGTACATCTATCTATCAATGAATTGCTCCACACTGACTGCTCATTCTTTTTTTTTTTGTAGCAGCAGGGAAAAGGCACTCGCCAAGTTGTAGCACGTCTTTTTTCCTCTTGTGCGAAATCGAATGCATATAAAGTATCACTGCAACTTTTTTGCACCCAATGTGGCAGATCGCAGCAAAACGAAGAGTTGGGCAAGCTGGCTTGCATTTATATTGCAACAGCGCAGAGACGACGCATAAAGAAATACTGAACGAGAGCTGACCGGCAACTGGTTGTGTTATTCAAGCAAATTTGAAAAGGAAACAGAACATGCATGTGCAACCTATGCACAGGACAAAAGACCACACATGTAGCATCACTACATCTCCAAGTGCCTCACCTAGCTATCAAGTAGTGCAATTGACAGTGCACTAACACACACGTGACCCTTTTTGCAGATAGGAAAGGCTTCAGCTCTTATGCGAAATTCCGTGTGTCTGTAAACGGTGGTCTTTTGGCAAAATTGCAGAGGGCTACCGCAGGCGGCACAGTGGGCAGATAAATGGGAGAGCGGTGCACTTTTTGAAGAGCTATGGTGCTTATGCAGGCGTACATTGAAGCAACGTTTGCCCCACATGAGAATAAAATGGAATAATTGCCCACTGTCTATGCAAGCTATCTCACAATACAACCTACCCCACCTGTGGTTGTTCCCATAAGAAGAGCCATTTGCAGAAATCTCGCCAATTCGCTACCTTTGGCTCAACCATGCGCTCCTGTGGCTGCACCTATGACCTATGCCGCAGTTGCAGCATGACCAGCCCACAACACGTATGCATTTCCTACCACGATGCACATATGAACATCATCTATATTGCGTTCCATCCTTGCGCTATCGCCCCGTGCCCGGTACATTTCGGTCAGGATCGATATGCCCATTATCAGGGTTACATTGCATTCTTGATAGGAAAGTGGCCAGTGCCGAGTTTTCAAGAAAGGAAGCGCACACAAGCCTGATGACGATTATTGTTGTGGGACAAAAAGACACCCTTTTTACTCGATATTTTTTTAGAGTGATATTTGATACCGTCGCTGGCCCAATGGGTGCGCGCCGTTGTTACTTTACTTGGTCAAACATGCCTTGCAAGCGAGCTGAAGCGACACCTAACCGAACGGTGAAAGAAAAAAGTGAGCGGAAAGTGGGGTGGGGTGTAGCGGTTAAAAGATTTTTAACCCGTGCAGAGAATGCTGCTTAATCCATCTTCATTGCAGTACATTGGTGCCTTGTGGAAAAGCATATTGCGATTTGGAAGGGGCTGTTAGCACTAGTCATGGGACGCTGCAAATTTTGTCCAGTTACTCGTGCGTTTGTATTCTACATATTTGGTAACTACTGACATATAAATAAGCTAATGACAATCATTTCGAGCAGTGTATGACATTTCTGCTTCCCTAAAAAAATAAAAACAAAACTATATTGTGCACCAGTTTCTTTGCCACTCCTCGGCATTAGGAATCTTTAAAATTTCAAGGTTGCGAGCTTTGCAGATATGTAGTTAGTGATTTGACAGGCACAGCAAATGCTAATATAAACTTTAATATTATTTGCACAGTGGGGTGGTTCAAAATAATACTTCCATTGAAATAGCAGTGTTCACATTCACACTGCACAATTATTTATTTTCACGTACTGCAGCCTGGTTACGAAGCTATCGCAGGAGTGGGTCCAGAGCAGTAAAAATACAAAAAAGAAACTCAGAATAATTCAAATAAATACAAACAATGGCAAATCAAATAGTTATGAAAAATGCTATAAAGATAATTATATAAACATTGCAAGGCTAGAAGATGTCTTTCAGTGCCCTCAGAAGTCCATCTTTTTCTAATGAGCGAATGTCACCTGGTATGGTATTCCACATTTCAATACATAGGGGTAACAAAGTGTGTTTGAAGAAGTCTGTGCGATGATAAAACACATATACTTTGAGTGTATGGCTGTATCTGGTGAATGTTGTTTTTGCAGGGGTTATGTAATTGTTGCGCGATGAATATTGTGGTGAATTGAAAAGGAAATGCGAAAGTTTGAGAGACTCGATGTGCTGTCTTTTAGAAAGTGAAGTTAAACCAAGGTGTGTTTGGTGGGATGTCGGTGAGAAATTGCAGTCATAGCGACTGTATATGAAATAAATGGCTTTTTTCCTGGGTGGATTCAACGAGTTTATGTCACCGATTTTGTATGGGTACCATACAGTGGCACCATATTCAAGTGTTAGACTTATGAAAGTATTATATGTTAACAGTTTTGTTTCTTTGGGGGCTAAACGTAGTGAACGGTTAAGATATCAGACTTTCCTTGAAGCTTTGTTGCAGGTTGTGTCGATGTGTTGAGACCATGATAAGTTTGTGGTGAAAAGAAGAAGAACGGCTATTGGGTTATTTGGTAGTTGGCTTTTTACCGTGAAAAGGAGGCCAAGATATTTATATTATGGAACCCGCTGTACAACGTAGTTGTTGAACGAATAATTGAATGTTGATGAGGTTTTCTGCCTGCTAAAACACATGGCCGCAGTCTTTTGGAAATTAATGTTCATCTGCCAATTCTGACACCATGTGCGAAAGTTTAAGAATGAAGCGTTGAGTGTATAATGATTATCAGGTGAATTGATTGTGATACAGGGCATAATCATCAGTGTAAAAATGAATCTTAGTGGAAACTACAGAAGTAAATAATGTACAAGAGGTAATTAATGTACAATAAGAGTAAAGTCCCCAGCACGGATCCCTAGGGCACTCCTGAAGATATGTGTTTCGCACTAATGTAATGTTTTATAAGATACATATTGGCAACGATTTTAAAAAAAACTACCAATCCAGTCAACAAGCAGGGGGTTCTTTAACAAAAGATTGAGCTTATATAGCAGTTTTGCATGAATGACACCGTGAAATGCTTTTGAAAAGTCAATGAATAATGCGTCCACCTGAATGCCTAAGTCAAGGGCGATAGAAACATCATGTGTGAATTCTGTTAGCTGAGTTATGGTACTGAATTCACGCCAAAAACCATGTTGTGCACTGGAGAGGGCGTTGTTAGATTCAAGAAAATTGTGTTTGAAGACGATATGTGCTAACTGTTTGCATCAGTGCGAGGTTAGTGATATAGGCCTGTGATTTGAAAGAGATTGCTTACTACCTGATTTGTGTAGAGGAGGCACTTGTGCACTTTTTCCATGATGATGGTACAGTTGATGTTAACAATGATTTTTCAAAAATGACTGACAGGCATTGGTCTGTCCATAATGAATAACGATGCAGAAAGACGTTAAAATTGTTTGGGCTAGACGACTTTTTGAATCAACATGTCAAATCAAATTGAGTACAC